AAAAAACAACCCCAAATCTCTATGTACAGACTCAGTGTGCCAGACCAGTACAAAAATATACACATCAACTCTACAGATCCCAGCTCAGTAGATCAAAACACAGCTATAAATCACAGTGCACAGGACAGCATCAGGCCCAGGGAGTGACAGGGTCCCCTCTTGCGAGCACAGCACGCCACGGGCGCGCTCCAGCATGGTGGGGAGCAGATCATCCTCCTGCCTCGTGGGGTCATTTCTGATCCAGCTGACAGTACAGGTACATGGAAACTGCCATGGCTGCGATCTGGGGGTGGCAACAGGCAAGTCAGTCCCCCCAAGTGTGTGTATGTGCCCCCCACCCAGCATGGGTCTGGGTCACAGCCCATGGCATCCATCCCCAGCGCACACAAGGAGGAAGAGCTGGGTGTGCCCAGGGAAGAAGGCTCAGCAGCCACCCCGGGGTAGATGGTGGTCCGTGGGCTTGCACCAGCCCCCTGCAGCCCTTCGGCCACCCAGGCTGGTCCAAGACCCACCACCCAACTCCAGGTATGAGGAGGCAGCACAGCCTTGCTCAGGAACTCACCTCCAAGGCAGCGATACCGGCTGCCACACCACCCACCACACCTGCGTTAGTCTTGATTTCTTTCAAGATCTGATCAAAACAACCCTGCGGGAGGCAACCACACAGGTGAGGACAAGCAAAGGGTAGCGACCCCCTTACCACTGGGGAACAGCAGCCCAGAAAGGGAGGTACAGTGCTCCAGAGCAGCACAGCCATGGAGAAGGTCTGGGGGCTTCAGGGGGGCAACTCATCTCAGCCACTTCTCAGGCCAAAGCACAGTATTGGGAGGAGAGGAGGGGAAGAGGCAAGGAAACCACCCCAAAAGGCCAAGTGATGCCTGGGTTCATGCTCGGCTCCAGGCACGCACCCTGCTGCAGAGCTCCCTTTAGGGCCAGAACAACAGTAGCAAAGCTGCTACTTTGCTCATCTCCACCAGGGAGAAGCCAAGGCCACCACAGCACCCCCCAGGACTTAAAGCCCATGGGACCACCATGTCCAGAGCTGGGGCTGGAGCTACAGGACAGGTTTCCCTCCCTGTGCCAGGGAACACCCCAAACCAGGCTCTGCCAGAAGGTGAGAGCTGCTGTCACATCCATACCGGGACATTGCTTTCTGCAGCGACCGTGGCGTTGCAGGGCTTCAGGTCCTCACAGCAGGGCCCCGGGTAGGTTCCCTCTTCCTTGTACCAGGGGGAGTCCGTGAAGTCTGTGTAGTTATTCAGGCCACAGCAATGGACCTAAGAGGGAGAGAGAGAGAGAGAGGAATGGATGGGGAGAGCATCCTGCAGTTCTCTATCCTGGATCAGACACAGCCTGGACCTCACTGCCCCATGGAGGTGGTCATCCAGCTCAGCCTCACAGAGTGCTCAAGGGCCCTCTTGGCATCAGGATTTTGACCCACACTCCAGCACGTGCAGCTCTCGCCATAGCAATGAGACCGCTAGATCCCAAGTGGGTAAGTCCCAGGCACCTGGGAAGCTGATGGGGTGGTGATAGCTCTGCATACCCAGAACTGCGATAATGTCCCCATCCTACTGTCCCACTCCCTCCCTGAGGCTCAGCACACCTCATTCATGGTGATGTTCCAGATATGTGAGAAATCATCATCCATCCCATACTTCTCCTTCAGGAGAGGGGTGACCACAGCCGTCAGCAGTGTCTCTGCCTGGAAGAGGAGGAAGACAAATGCCATCAGAGAAGGTCCTGGGAAGCACCACAGAGCTGAGAGCCCCCATACTGGTCTCAGCCCATGGGGAAGAGGCCAACCAGACCCGGCATGGCCAGAAGCACATCACACCATGCGCCTTGGGCCCAAGGACAGCTTGTCCCCTTCTCCACTAACCAATGCTTTATGGCACCAAGGCCACTTATGACCAGTGAGTCATCTGATAAGCAGCATAACCAAGGGAGCCAGGAATGACGCTTGCCCTGTGGTTGACTTCTCCTGTGCCTAATGAGGCAAAGTCCACAAAGGTGGGAACAGTCACCTTTCTCCCCAGGTGGTTTCTCAGGTGCCTAATCAGGGGTTGAGTTTGCTCAGCATGAAGCATTAGGGACTTCCTCTCCCATGTGCTTCCTACCATTAGAGGTGGAGAGGTGTCAAGCCTCAGCTGATACTAGACTAAGGTGTTTGAAAGAAAGAAGTGGGTGAAACTTGTACCAAACCCTCATTTCTTTAGGACAATGGGAACCCCAAATGGGAACCAGTGTCCCTTCCTCCTGCAGCAGTGCCCACCTCTCAGCTTCCCCATCCATGGGCAGCACTGCCAGCCCCACAGTCTCCTGTTTTCCCAAGGGGTGGGACAGGTCCCAGATTAGCCCAGCCCAAGACTCAGACGTGCCACTCACAAGACCTGTGTAGACCAGAGCCACCACGGCAGCAGCAACTTCAGCAATGAAGATGATCAGCACCACCGAGAAGAACTAGGATACAGCAAGGGGAGAGAGGTCAAAGCAACAGTCAAGAGTCTCAGGGCCCCCAGGAACCCACCTGCTTCCCATGGGCCACAGGACCCTACCTCAGGGCTCTAGCCCTGTCTTATTGCCTTCAGCTCTGCTCCAAGGCAGAAGCAGCATAACCTTGGGGTCCTACAAACCCTCTGTCTGCATGGGGCTGACCTCTCTGGACATGCTCCAAGAGAGACCTCTGCTCAGCACCAGCTTCTGCTTCCTTTCACCCTTGCCCAGGGCAGACTTTAGGTCCAGCACTGCCTTTCCAAGGTCCACCCAGCCCTCCATCACATGGGAACTTGCAAGGAGCACATCTCCACAGAGAAATCTGTCCCTCAGATCTCCCTCACCAAAGAACCAGCTCAAATGAGGCTTGTTAAGGAGATAAGTCAGATCCATACCATCATCAGGAGACACTTGCTCTCCTTCTGGGCGCCGCAGCACCCGAGGAAGCCGATTACCAGTAGGATGGCACCAATGACGATGAGGAAGTAGCTCACATTCACAACCTGCAGGACACTAGAGGAGAGTGCCCCAAATATATCCAGGAATGACTCTCCATCCAGTGATACCCAGATGCCAACTCCCAGGAGGGTCCCGCCACCAAGCTGGGAGGAGAAAGACAATGTCAGCTCCCAGGCAGGTGGAGATCTGGGATTTGGGGAAGGTCCTGCCACAGGTATTTCTCCCCTTTTCAAGTTTTCACCATACCAAAGCAAGACTTTGTGGCCACTGAAGGCAGCTCAGGACATTGCCACCACACACCTGGGGCAGTCAGATGGGTCACGACCCCAAAACATAGCCCACCAGCAGCACATCCCCAGCTGCAGTGTCACAAGTTCCCCCTTCCCCAGCCCAAGGGGTTTTGGTGCCAGCAGTGGGGCAGAAACCCCCACGCAGGGCAGCCAAGCCACCAGTGCCACCAGCCACCCCCAGACCAGCCCACATGGCCAGCTCAGGCACTGACCACCATCACGCTGCCACAAGTTCCTCCATCCGGGGAAGCTGCCCACTCACCCGGCTGAGCAGCTTCCAGCCCCAGACACTCACACGCTCCTGGCAAGGTCAGCTCCAGGCTGCCCCAGCCCTGCCCTTCACCCGATTGACCTTCCCCACCAGCCCCAGGCCCTGGCAGGAGCTTTAAGGAGGGAATGCTTTGCCAAGGCGAGCTTAGAGGCTCTGCACTCCCCCTTCCCAAGGCTGTATCCCACCACACCCCCTTCCAGGTGGCTCCATTGTTCCTGCAGAGCCAGGATAGCTCTCAGGAGGTCCACTACCTTTTGTCCCAGGTGGGACCAGAGGCCGTGTGTGCCCTGCAGATCCCTGACATCTGAGACCCCCAACACCAAATTCATCACCACACACATGGGATGCTCCTCTACAGAGACAGAGCCCCCCAGGCAGGGACTGAGCAAACCCCCCTGCTCTGGGGCACACAGCACCCCTCGCCAGAGCTTCATCACAGGGAGGGACGTGGGTGGCTGATGCAACAACCACTGTCCCCAAAGTCCAGCACAGTCCCCTGGGCTTTGGCCAGAGCTGGGCACACCACTGGGGTGAGAGACCCACCAAGCCCAGGGCTTTAGTGCTCAGCTTGGGGCCAGACACGAGCTCTCACACCTCACTGGGATCCCAGGAGCACGAGTCCCATCTACACCCAGCTCCCCACATCCCCCACAGACAGGGACATGGAACCCACAGGGGCAGACTTTGCCCACCCCATGCCCGGCCCAGGGTGCTCCCCAGGAGCTGCTCTCGCAGACCCCAGCCCCTCATCCCAGTTTCCCAGGGTAGAAGAGGGGGCTGCCAGCTCGGGACCCCCCGGCAGAGACAGCAGCTGGGGGACACTTACGAATA